TTGGATGGGTAATGAATTCTGTACTGGAACAATCCCAGTAGTTACAGACTATTATGTACTAATTACTACCTTTACAGATCTACTGTACACATAATTAATTTCTTCAGAGCACCACTATCATTCTTGACTGGCAAAATACACAACCTAAATTACAAGAGGCAGAAATTAACATGATCCTTTAGGGAGAAAGCATTAACTTCCTTTGTAGTGTTTCGCAATTAGACTATCAATCAAACAGTGAAGTGATTTTGATAGCAGCAGGCCAGATGCAGTGACTATTGTCACATCATTACAAAGCTATCTGAGGCCCCAAGCTTACGATGTATCACAACTCATCTATAGAGCCATAGCATTTGAATCCTTTACTTTTACCTGCTAGAAGACAATTCATCATACAATTATACATTATCTAATATTCAAAAAATTAAACACCAACTTAGGGAGGTTTTGAGATCATGTTCCACAGGGCACCACAGACACCACACTGCTGCTGACGGCCTTCTTTTCTCTGACACCAGTAGCCAAAAATATAATTTGATACCAGTTAAGGCATAAAAGCAAAATTTAGTCAAACAATGTTCTAGCTGCACAATATAACATGACCCGCCTAAATGATTCGAAAGATTTGCTATTAAGTAGGTTCTTACCAAGAACAGTAACATTTTAAACATTTTATCTTAGTTGTTGTTTTGTTTCATTTTTAAAGACATTCCACAGAAATACAAACATAAATAACCCTCACTCTGCCAAAAAGCAGTGGTCCAAGCTTCCAGAGATGCACAGACAGACTGGATTAATACAAGCATCAATTCTTGTTCAACTCCATTACAATATTTCCCTCACTAGAAATTTACTATTATGCATTTAATCAGAAATGTGAAATTTTTTTTAGTTCTAAAATTCTGATAGGAGTATCAAAAAACATCAGCAAGATGACATTCTTAGTTGACAACACCCCTCATCATTTCACTGAGAATTAAGAGAAATGAATGATTTAAGATCACAAACTCCCAAGGACAAGATGCATTTATCTGATCACTTGCATCTCCTCTCTTCAGTTACTAAAAAAAAAAGCAGATTTCATACTACATAATCAATCTAAGGAGGATTGTTCACTGAGTTTATTTCACTTTTTCTTTATACTCCATAGACTGGAAAGGATTTTTTTTTTAATTAAGAAAATATCTATGTAATCACTCACAGCTTAAAACTGATCACGTGAGTTTTTAAAAAGGTAGAAATCTCACTATGTAAAGGTTATCCTCCTTGTTAAAAAAAACTCGTCTAATGCTTGCAGGTAAGATTTAACTGTTTTAAACATAGATAAGGTTGAGCTAAGAAAACCTCCATAGAACTCCTTCCTCTTGCTATTTAAATATCAAAACACAAATCAATCCATGATAAGATTATTTTGCAAACCAAATCTTACTGAGCCTGAAATTGTCAAGTCATGACTCAAAAACTGTAAAAGGATGATCCATGTTTTCAACAGAAAAATCACTGCTTTCACTGTCAAGCAATGCATAGTAAACCTTATGTATACTTTGTAAAAGAGAACTTATATCTAAGTATATTTGAAGTAAAATTATTTTACCAGTCAGGGAACATTCCTTTTTGTTCCTGGTGCTCTGTGATTAAACATTCTTACATTTTACAAGCAGCTAACTGACAAAAGTAATAATTCATTAACTAATGAAAATTGAGCTTCCGAAGTGTCTTATTATGACTTCAACACACACGTAATTTTGGTCTCCAAAAGTAACACCTCCCTGCAGGGCTGGCTGCCTTCCTTGAAAACACTGGGTACACAGGTAGCAAGGCAGCACCTCGTTTAGTGACAACCAACATTAAGTTATTATTCAAGTATCTGAAAACAAAACTATGTTAAATGAGGAAAAAAACCCTAAGATTCATTCTCATTGTGCCAGAGACTCATGAACAGAATTCAGAGCTTTAATCAAATTTGAGAGCTGCAACCTGTAGAGAATTACAAATTTTCAGTAAGTGTATATACTATCATTTGTTTCACTTCAGTTACTACTCCCACTGGCATTACAAAATGCTGTGAAATATGAAATAGTAAACACTAAGTCATCACAATTGCTTTTTGGCAATTGTCAGTTTTCTTCCAGTCATTCTTTTTTTTTTTTTTGGTACATGCTGACTGTGCTCTCAAGAGACCATAAAATGCATTTCTATTTATCTTTGTATCATCCTCTTGTAATGTATTAGGAGATCACACCAAGAAATGAGTGTAATCCTAGATTACGCTTGAAATAAGGTGAATATCCTTTTAGTGTTGCCCTTTGGAGACAGCAGTTGCAGAAACTAAGTTGTTTGTGGAATCCAGTTATTGAACCTGTGCTGCAACTAAATGCTCTGAGACTTTTCTTGACTTCTAGTAGGTTTTCAAGTTCTAAGAAACACTTGAACTCAAAGAAATTGAACTTTCTCTACTTGTCAGCCAAATAAGATTTTAATGTCCTAGGTAATACGTAGCAACATTTTCAACAGTCTTCCCATCCTTTGTTATGACATGTTATTTTCTACAACAATTAACTCACAGTAATGTAAGGAAGAACAGGAAAATATCTGCAGGGCTACCACAGTAAACTATTTCGAGAATTTCTGTTGTTCATAGTTTTAGAACTGTGCAACTATGTCAAGAAGAATTTCCTCTCATACGAAAGCGAAAGCTATGTCAAAATTTCAAGAGGGTTTATTTCAGCATTTTTAATGAAGAAGCTTTTCAGGAATTCAGAAACATTTTTTCAGATTTCTGATGAAAGAATTCAGCTCAAGGCAAAAGCTTGTCATTTTCATTAAGAAGGGTCTCATTCCATTCCACGTGTTATCTGCTGCTAGGGGTTCTTTCCCTTAAAGGTTTTCCTGCCTTGCTGTCACTAAAAACCAGTGACAAATTCCACAACATTTTAAACATACTGCAATGCTATGAACCAAGAATCTATCAAACTTCAGTATGGAAAATAGTGTTAAATTACTGTAGATGATGCTTTTGTGTTACTGCATGTAATATCTGAACATTTAGAGCGGGAAGTGGGATGTATTGTAAAAGCAGAACACTAATGGCTCAGATTCAGTGACTACTAAAAAGAGCAAGAGCGCTGAGTGAGAGAACTGTATATTTATCTTATGGAAAACACAGCTATTACTAATTCTTTGAAGGGGCTTCACAAAAGAGCACAGAAAAAGACATGCTCAAAAATAACTCAAGGAATCTACTCAAGGAATGGTTCAGGAAAGTTACGGTCCTCTGAGAGACCTTCCTTAACTCGAGTTAATTTTTCAAATACTGTACTAATATAAACAGCAGTTCTGATTCCTGAATTCAGACAACAGTCAGGATCTAACAAACCTCTCCATGCAATACAGCTTAATTTTGAAATAATAAAAATCCTCAAGTAGTTGAAAGAAGTGAGAGCATTCTAGCAGTTCAAATTACAACAGAAGACTCCCTATGGTTAAAATACAAAGCATCACATGAGTTGCTAATTCTTAAAGCCAAAAATTTCAAGTAAAAAACCAAGCAGCGCAAAAATGCCTACAGTCAGTGCACACACTCACTTCAGAATCCTAAGGTGTGTGTTTGCTTATTCAGATTTGACCTATGAACACTTGATACATTTGACTCCATCCACCTTCAAGAACCGCACATGCCTAAAGTATACTGGATTTTAACTGGTTGGTAAACGGACAAAAGATTTGTAGCTAGATCAGGAATTCTTTCAGTATCTACAGCTTCTTGGACTCTTAATTTGTTAGCTTTCTCATTAGCTCCTGATTAAGTTATTACTGAATCATACTTCAGCAGTACTTGATTCTTTTCAGTGCCTGAAACAACTTACCAGCAAATGGCCACATACGAAATACTGATCAACTGCCCATTAACCATGCCTAACAACAAAGAGACTTGAAGCAGTGTGCAGCTTCAGAAATATACTCAGAGACCATCTGAAAGCCATGAAGAGCTGAGGATGGTATTAAAGCATCAAAATAATAAGCAATACCCAGTTGTTAGTAACTGCACTCCCAAGCTATAAATATATCAATCTTTCCTACCGAAGGAAATCAAGTTTTTGAGAATTTTTTTTCATCTAAAACCAATAGCGTAAGAGTTATTTATATGCCATACTGAGCAGCCTCACTTACACTTGACAGAAAGTTCCAGCAAAGTTTTTATTCTCACTGTATTCTTCTCTCTAGTAGTCAACAACTCTGTTCCAACAAAAATCAGTAGGCTGACACCTTCCCATGTTATTTTGCAAACAGTTTCACTAATGACAGCAACGATGCAGTTTAACTGTATATAACTGGGTGGGAGGGAAGATGTTTCTTAGATCACACAACACAAATTTAAATAGTAATGAAAGGAGTATATTTAAAGACTTTTTTCTTAAGTGAGAGCTGCATGTAGTATTCAAAAAAAAGGGGACAGGCAAGGACACAAACACAAAAACTTTGAAAAAAAACAGTGGTTTCAACTCACTTATTCAAGAATCATGACAGTAGGTATAGATTGTGATTTTGTGATTCAACTGTATATTGTAATAGCTATATTTTAAGTCTTACTTGTAGAGGATTTTGATTCAGCAGAGAAAAAGAAGCAAGTAAATTTTTGTTACACATTAAACCCTCCAACACAAGTGGACTATCTAAAAAGAACCTGACAAGTTACAGTTCCTGCAGTTATGAATATGAATGTAGACGAGCTGGATTTTAGGATCAGAATTTAAATTTAATTATAATTTAATTTGAAAAAAATTCACATCTGTCTGGAAGATACCCTGCCCTTTTAAGAGGTATTATTACAAAAGGTTCCTCCCCTCATGCTTGTAATAGACTGCTATGCTTAATAAAAGCATACCATTGCATGAACTCCACGGTATTGCACAAAGCATAAAAGAGAGTCTCACTGCACATTACATTTAGCAAGTTTTAAACTTACTAAAAGCACAATACAAAGTAAAAGAAGCACGTACCTTTCATTTGCGTTCCAAACGTAAGCGCTAATTTTGCAAACAGTTCTGGGTCTTCAAATTTATCTTCTTCAGCTTTTACCCAAAAGCTGTTTTCTGCTATCTCTTGAGGCTCAATCTGAAACAAAAAATGGCATCTCCAAAGTTTAACACCTACTATTTTCAAGAGCCCAGTTAAAGCCAATGCTACTAGATTTTTGTGATAATTTAACTGAATTAAGTTTAGCTATGTTCCAGGTATAAGGTTCTCTTAAAGATACTTGCTAAACAAAACCCAATCATTTGAACTGCCCTCTATCTACACAATGATTTTTATTATATTTCTCCCATTCTACAAGTTTTCCAAATAGGCTTGATAACATATTAGCATCTGGGTTTGAAAGCGTTCTAGCTTTCTTCTGATTACTTAACAGACAATTTCCATATTCCTCACCACTGACAGAATAGTCTTTCTTACACTGTCAGAGTATGCAATACCTTATTCGCAAATGATACATCAATGCAGACCTTTCAGTGACTCAATATTAAGACTGAAGGAAGAATTATCTTTTTAAATATCAGAAAAAATTTTATTCTTAAAAACACTTTTTTTTTATACTTTCAATTTTTCAAATGTAAACACAGATTTCATTACAATACCTTATTTTATACTGGCCATATTAAAAGAAGAAAGTCCTCTGCTGTATAGAGCTGAAAGCCAATTTTACTCCTCAAGTGTGATTCAGAACAGCTATCTTGTTTTAAATGTTTGCCTTCCACTTTTTGCATTCTTATCAGTTCTTGTGTACAAGTTTGTTTAAATGCCAATTAATTTTCAAGGGCTATTTAACTTCAAGATTACATGCAGGAACTTTACCAATACTATGTTTGTAAGCCTCACTAGGATTTCACTGCACCAAATTGGTCCCCCCTTTTACCATATGATCCATCAGTAAATGTGTAGCTGCTTTACCACCAGCTGCAGGTTAAACATTTTTTAGAACTACCTTAATCCAGCAATAATGATGAAGACAGTTACAACAAAAGACACTAAATTAAACAGTAACAACTTAATTCCCGAAATGATGGCTCCTGACAAGTGATGACCAAATAGACTGTCCTCTTTTTCAGTATGCAGGAGATCTTTGGCACTGCTCCCAGAGCACTTAAGCAAAGTGTCCATCTGCAGTTACTGTCTGTTGTCATACACAGTGTTCAGATGTACACTTTATGAATTATTTCTATAAACACATGAACATAATTGATTACAATGAAATTGGCTGCAATGACAAATCAGTATTATAAACTAAAAAGCTTATTTTTCTCTATGTTTACAGGACAGTAGTCCAAGTGCATTTCACAGTTACAAAACCAGTGCAACTGATTTAGAATCAGGTATGACTTAAAAAGGACAACTGAGTGTAGAAAGCAGAAGTTAGACACGTGCCAGGAATTCTTCCCTGCTTAATTGAGCCTGCCTAAATAAGATAAAATAACTGTAGGAGAGAAACTATCCTAACCAGACAAAGCAGTGTCAAGTCAAAGACAAGTAGCAACATCAGAACACTATACTGCCAATGGCATATAAATTTTATTTCCTGCCTTAAGAAAATTGGCAAAACATAAATCTGGGATGAAACCTATTTCCACAAGGAAAAAAAGTCCAGATGGAAATACCCAAACAAAGGTCATAATAGAAGCTAACTGAAATAACAGGCACAAACCTTTTGCTTAATAGCCCAGGTGGAAATGCATTTCTAAAACGTTAGAGCTCCATTCCAAAAGGAGGAAAAATAGTTTAAAAAAAAAAAATCTAGAAATGGTACGATAGAAGCTTTGAAGAGAGTAAGCTTCTAAACAGAAAGATAAGGACATTCAATGGTAAAATATCTTCAAAAGACATTAAACATTTCCTAAGCAGACAAGTGACCTTCTTTATATATATATATATATATATATATAAGGGTTTTAAAGGTTAAAAAATTGCATAATTCAAATGGTTTGTAAGAGTACATGAACCAAAAGGACTTTGATATGGTTAGATGAATTTCAATGGAAAAAAAAATAACCCAAAATCTCTGGATTCCAACACTAGGTAACACCATAGTCCTCAAAGTAATACATGAGCATCTTTTCCAGTATGACACCTCATACATTCTTGTTTCTTTTTAATAATATATCTAGGCTACTCAAAACAGTCCATTTTTTCTTCCCTAACATAATATATCGGTGTGGCTGGCAGGAGGTTAAAGATATTTTGTACAGAGTTTTTAAGAAAAGAGCAGGATTACACGATTCCTTTTAAATTCAGAAGCATTAAAGTTCGTATTTATTCTCAAAAAACTATTCAGTTTTCTGGAAATGCACTGATATATGCAAATAAAGAAAGAAAACCCCTCACTGATTTCATTTTGCTGCACCCTCTACAGTTGCTAGTAACACCACCCTCATCTACAATTCTCTATAATGGGCCTGAAGTTTCCAGCACTGTCATACTGCACCGTAGCACTAAGAATGCGTACTGATGCGTGTTAAACAAAAACAAAGAATCAAGGGCTTTTAGCCCCCAGATACTTCTAAATCCTCCTCCCACAAAAAAGAAGGAAAGTTATAATCTAGGCTTATATGCAGATTTTATAAGAATTACAGACAGAAAAATTAAGTTTCAAATTTATCTTAACATTTATTGAAATTAATACATTAAAAACATGGTTGACTATTTTGAATATCCTTCTACTTCAGTATTTTGAAAGCCTGTTTTTAAACTACTACTGCTAGATACGCTTTCAGATTATTTTGGCACACCTCTAAAAATATTCTGAAATCCAGCGGCAAAATACTAAAGAGAAGTTAGAAATATTAATTCTTCTGGTAAAAGAAACGATAAATTGACATGCCATTATTTCCACACAGGTTTTAACTCAACCTTCTAGATTCCTCTTTACAAAGTTAGTGGGATTAATCATTCTTCATGATACAGCTCTTATTTGTTACTCTAAACAAAGAACCATTTCACTATTCAACACTTTAGAATTTAGAGAAACACAAAATCTTAGCTTACTTTTTATTTAGAAAAACAAGACCACTTATGCAAAAATGTCAGAGGACACTCTAGTTCCTCTTCCGAGAGTAAGCTTCCATCATCACTAGTTCTTTAAAGGTTTTCCTTGAAGTAGTGATGGTACCTACTCAGAAATGGTACAAAATACCTTACCCTGAATTGCCTGAAAAACTCCATGGGAAAAACTAAAATGATTTCGAAACACAGACCAGTGTTGTTGCTCTAACACCATCCATCTTTACATACACTCTTAAAACTGAAATTCCATTGTGTCTGACAGGAGAGATCAGCTATCTAAGAAGTGGATGCACATATGATCCTGTGTCCTAGCAGTATTGTGAAAACAGTCTACAAAGAACTTATTGCTGTCTATTGAAGTGATTCCTTTCAGAGGCTTCATATTGAAAAGATACGGCATCTTCAGCCAAGAGCAAGATCTGGCATCCCATGTCATCCAGTTCCATCCAGGACAACATGATAATGCCCAGCTTTATAGAAACATGTATATCTACATCCATATGAACTTCCTAACACTTTTACCAGCTGTGAGACATCTTGAAAAAACCCACAATATTTCAGAGTGTGATTTCAATTACACGTTCAGCAGTTGTTCCGTGTTAAATTCCAACTGTTGGATGGTCAGCAATGACCATCTATAGCCGCTTAACAACTTACTTTCATCAAAAATTTCATTGTACTAAGTTCTTGGTACTAATACTATTGAGATAGAATATGGTTTTCAAGGAAAGTGTCAGACACTAACGAGTAGTACAAAGATTTAGTACCTTGACAAATAAGTAGCAGATACCCAGTCAAACTGGAGTCCGAGCTAGAGCTTAAACCAGATAGCATAAAATATATAAAAGGTCCTCCTTTGATTTGCCTTGAACATTTGGCTATCTATGTATTATTTCCTCCAAACCTCAATACCTCAATCACGTTTTATACCACTAAAAATTGCCAGACACAAACTGCCGTTAAGATGCGATGGTTTAGTCTTGATGACACATGCAATCATCTAGTACCCCAAATCTATTTCCTTTATATGGAAGGAACAGTGGCTATACTGATCAAAAGGCATTTTAAAGGAACACACAGGTAAACACACACCTGGATATTCTCATAACTTCTCTTGTCAAAGGGACCAACTATACTGAGAGACAAGAATAACTAGTAACTGCTCTTACAGGTTACTTTGCAAATCAGAGACTGTGTTTGCAGTTTACTGTTCAAGTAAACGTTTATATTTCAAGATGTTTTAAAAAATGAAATTTGATTAAATATAACGATGTGAAGACTGTGCAGCAGCTCACACTCATTCAAGTCAATGGTGGCCAAAGATTTCACTTGAGCAGTCCCGTAGCTCCTCCCAGTGGCCATAAGCCTGCCCTAGCA